AGTGTGAGAAGAGGGGGAGGGAGTTGAGTCCATTATTTGAATGGACATTAACTTGGCGACTGTATTTCTCTATTTCTCTTAAGTATTAATTGTGTGCATGTACCATCATAAAATTAAGATGTTATTTTTACTAGAACATAGGTATTGTGTCGGAAAAAGTAGAGTTTGGGGGTCCGGCCAGTCTCTATTGGAATTAATCCCATATGTTCTGTTGTTCACTTAACGCGGTTTTCACTTAACACGGTACCCTGTACCTAACCTAACCTAACACTATATTTATGTTGTTTAAGTCTAGTTACAAGATGTTAGGACAGGCCAGGAATCCAATGCTCTGTTTGTTCATTTGAGGGATAACAAGCATTGCATTGACTGGGATAATGCCTCCTCAATATTACCTTGTAATTCAATTGATAGTAGGAACATCATAGAATCTAGTCTCATTAAACATACCGAAGCATTCAACATGAATTTGAGTAATGGCATGTACAAACTGGACAATTTTGTAATTAAGAAGATTTGTAACCAGGTGAGAAGGTTGGGTCACCTTACCCTCTGACCTGACTACCGTTGCCGTGCTATTTAAAGATTAGTAGGGTCATTACCTAATACCTGACCATTGTGGACCTGGTCTCACCCTCCTCTGTATATATACACCTTGTTTTGTACTTATCTTTAGTCTGTACTCACCCCTGAAGATGTGAATTACACGAAAGCGCTTGGGAACTTCGTGTTTTCTTCTTTCCTTGTGGTTATCAGCATATACCTAGATCACGCGCACCTACAGTGATTTACTTGCATATATATATATATATATATATATATATATATATATATATATATATATATATATATATATATATATATATATATATATATATATATATATATATATATATATATATATATATATATATATATATATATATATATATATATATATATATATATATATATATATATATATATATATATATATATATATATATATATATATATATATATATATATATATATATATATATATATATATATATATATATTAAAAGTCCAAAAATCCGGATGCCAGAAATCCGGACCACCCGAGAATCTGGACTTTTCGAAAATTGAAACTTTTTTTTTTTTTCTAGCGGACTTTTGTGTGTATGTGCGCATGTGTGAGGGCCACAGCTGCACAGTGACAACAAGCGACCACGTGGTCGCCACTTTAAAACGAGCCATCAAACTGTGACAACATATGTAATTTTGAGTTCTACTCTTTCCATTTACAGAGTACAGTACTGTACAAGCCCATAATAATGGCTCCTAAAGTACAGTTAACCCTCACTTTACGCGGTTAATGTAACCCGGAGGGTCCCGCGTAAAGTGAGAAACGCGTAAAGTGAGAAACACATAAAGTGAATAACATAACATATGGGATTAATTGAAATGGAGTCCGGGCCGATCCCCAAACTCCACTTTTTGACGACACACAACTATGTTGTAGTAAAAATTTTATCTTAACTTTATGATGGTATGAAAAAACAAGTAATATAGAAGAGGTTAGGTTCGGAAAAATAAAGGTTAACATAGGAAAAATAAAGGTTAACATAGGAAAAATAAAGGTTAGGTTAGAAAAACTAAAAGTTAGGTGGAACACTTACGGTAGTAGAAGAGATGGGTCGGCATACGGGGATGGAGACTGGTTCCGAGGCAGAGGGCAGATTACTGGCCCTCAGGTGAATCACCATTACTAGGTGAATCACCATCACTGTCACTTACAGTTGTCAGGGCTTCCCTGACAAATCCCTGAAAGTCAACTTCACTGTCACTATCACTGGCTTGGGCTGGCTGTGGTGGGTTGCGGGCGAAGAAATCTGTTATGCTTTGCTGACGGCTGGCGTTGATGTTGTCGTGATACACCTTGATGTACGGCTCCATAGCCTGCACCAGCCGGGTATGGAAGACTTCATAGCGGTCATCGTCATTGTCGCGGGAAAGGAAGGACTTCATTTTCTCTGCACACTCCATGGCACCCTTAATATCACTATGATTAAACTGTGTTCTTCGGAGACTGACGCACCTTCTTCCTCCTCTTCACTGACGTGTTCTTCTTCCAACATCTCGTCGGCAGTCACTTCAGGATCTCTGATCACCTCCAGGATGTCGTCGTTGGTGGTCTCGGAGAAGCCTGGAACTGTAACAGTCTGCGCAGCTTCTCTGGCAAGGTCCACTGCTACTGCAACAGTCTGAACCTCACCAGTCACAGATTGACTCCTCCTCTCACCTGGTATTTCATGCAACACATGTCTCCATGCGTGACGAATTGTAGCAATAGACAGCTGATCCCATGACTCCACCAAGAAGTCCACAGCTTTCTTGATGTTAAATACTCTCCAGAATTGTTTGAACAGTATTTTTTGCTGTTCCAACTGTTGATCCTCATCTTCTTCGCTCTTGCTATCGGTGGTGGTGTCACTCAGGTTACGCAACTCTTCCCTGGTGTTGGCGTAGACTTTCAGGAGCTGGAATTTTTTTGTTGAGAATGCAGCTTTTACATTCAGATTAACTCTTGGTCCATGGGCTGTAATATAGACGTAGTGTTGGGAGGAAGGAAGACCACTTTTACGTTGGGGTGACGATCTAACAGTAGGGGCGAGTGTCCTGGTGCGTTGTCCAGCAGCAACAAAATATTGAATGGCACAATCTGTCGCTCACAGAATTTTTTTACATCGGGAACAAAACAGTCATCAAACCAGGAGAGGGACAGTGTAGAGAACATCCACGCCTTACGTGCGGTCAGCCAGTGGACATTTAGCTTGGTCATGTCCATGGTTTTGTAGGCGTGCGGCTTGCGTGCTGTGTGGATCACCGATAACTTGAGCTTACAGGTACCGGAGGCATTGGTGGTAAACAGGACGGTGATGTGTTCCTTCTGCATCTTCCGGCCCCGAATCCTGCTGGCATTCTTTACAACGAAGGACTTGGAAGGTAGCTTTTTCCAGAAAAGACCAGATTCGTCCATGTTAAACACCTGGTCGTCACTGTACTGTCCTTCCTCCATAATCTCACGTAAAAACGGAGGAAATTCCCGAGCCGCAGCACGGTCAGCACTCGCTTCTTCACCACCAATGTTTATATTGGTGATCTTGTTCCGGATCTTAAACCTCTGTAACCACCCAGAGGAAGCATTAAAGGGTTTGGGCTCTGTAATTCCCATCTTTCGTGCCACTGCGATGTACAGTTCACGTGCGTAGTCCTTAACAGAGCGCGTGTCGACCACCATGTTCCGTCGCGCCTGACGCACCAAGTACCTCACAAGTAATTTTTCTGTCTTGAGAAGCACCTGGTTGTGAAAATACTTGATCATAGAAGCACCTGTAGACTTTGTGATCTTCATGTGCTCCTTTATCTTGGCTGCATCCTTCTTTATTGTTCGAATCGTAGATTCATTCACACCATGCTGGCGCGCCAAATCAACCTGCCTTGTTCCTTTCTCCAACTCTTGGATGATGGTATACTTCACCTCGTAGCTTAAGGAACGTCGTGTCTTCTTTGGCTTAGTGCCGCTGGGTCCAGGTAAGGAAAGGTTTCTCTCTGGGGGTGGTGGTCCGGCGGAAGCCATTTTACGGAACAATGGATGCGCGTTTACACGGTGTGGCCTTGAGGGATGAAACTGCCGCGGCTAGGTCAAGCGTCGTCTTTCCTCCCTCCCTCCATCCCCCGGGTGGACACGTCATAATACTTTAAGCCAATTACAGCTAGCAGCAGAGGGGGGTAGGGATGCATGGCCAATCACAGGTCTGATACGTCATATGACGTCAGTCATAACGCAACAAAGACACACACTGCGCAACCTTACCGCGCCGCTTGCCGAAGCGGAGGGAGGAGGAGGGAGAGGCGAGGAGCACAGGCAGGCAGTCGGGCGGGTGGGGCTAATCTAAAAATAGCGCCGCGCCGGACACTCTCCGCGTAATGGGGTTCACGTACCGCGTAATGTGAGCACATGAGGTTCTGGCAAGGCACCGCGTAAACCTTGGAAACGCGGAATGCGGGACCGCGTAAAGTGAGGGTTAACTGTAGATAAACTTCGTTGTGTAAAGAGAAAGAAGAACACCTTGAAATTGAGTGACAAACTTGAAATAATTAAGAAACTAGAACGTGGTGTGAGCAATACTGTTCTAATGGAAACATACGACATTGGAAAGTCTACAATTTATGATATAAAAAAGGCAAAGAATAAAATTCTAGAATTCACAGCTTTTTCTTTAAAACTGCTCATTTTGATAAATGAAGCATGCTATATTTGCAAATGAATAAACTATCAAAATGTACCTGTTCATCTCTTCTTTATTCCTCCTTAAATTTGAATTTTATAAGTACTGCCTGAGAATCTGGAAAATCCTCTAGTTAAAGAAACTACAAAGTCAGAGGATTAAGAGAATGTTGTGACAGCACCAAATGTGAGCTCCTTTAAGAGTCCTAGACTTTACCAACACTGACATATTCTGGTACATTTTAGAACATTCCCCCCCAATAAAATTTATCCCGAACTACCTCTAATGATGACAGAATTTGAAATATAAGCACAGAAACTTAAAGCAATGAACAAGTATTGGATAGGTTTATAAATGAAGACTCGCAAAGGTCTTCTCTGATTGGCTAATAATGTATACAAACCCCACTTTTGTATGTTCACAATGCACTCCAAAGTTTTGATTTTTTTAATTGCTTTACAATATTATTTTTTTAATTTTTTGGTGGTTAGATTATTTTTGCTGGCCTTTTTATCACGGAGCCTTGTTCCCAGAGGATTTTTTAATAGATATATTGCTGCATGGTATATATGTATCCATGTTTTTAATGTAACTACAGGTATAAATGTATTTATTTTTGTCATCTTATCACTTTTGTATTTTTTCTGAGGCTTAGTTTATGTGTTCCTCCTAATATTTGCAGAAAGAGAGGAAATTGATAGAAGAGAGAGAAATTTACATTTAAATTAGCTTTTTCTTTTATTTCAGTGACAATAAAACACACGAGTCTGTGAAAACAGACACAGAAGATGATCTTTTGAGTAGTGATATCAAGTCTTTGACACAACCTACAAACAGTACACCAGTGACCAAAGATAGAACATGTGAAATTGGCTTGATGGATTGTGTGAAGAATGAACAGTGTGTTTCACTTGGAAACAGAAGAAAAAATGGCCTGTGTCAGTGTCTTCCTACTTTTTATCGAAAGACATCTACAGGAGAATGTGTGGAAAAAGAATCTACATCACCTATGGCTTCTAAAGAGGCTGAGTCCACAACCCATCATCCTGATGGCAATGGTGGAAAAGCTAATAGTTTTGTTGAATCATCATCATCCTCTGATTCTGCATCTCCCTCACCTGTTGTCTCCACAAATGAAGTCCCTCAGAAGGAATCTTTATCAAGTCCTCCCCCAAACATGTCATCCCAGAATCCAGTTGAGAAGCTTTTTGTTAGTATTCATAATAAAACTGTCTCCCTTGAAGCTGGCTGTACATTTTATGAAAAGAGAGTTACACTTTCAGCATATGCCATAGGAGGTATGTAAATTTATTTTAATAACTTCTGCAAATTAAATAATCCTGTGCAGATTGTTCATAATAACCATCTACACAGGATTACTTTATAGTAATGTAAGGATATATATGCTATCTAGGTATGTTAATTCCTAGCCAATTCGCCAGGCCAACATACAGGCAATTAAAACATATAATAATTACTTAATAAGTAATAATAGGAGGACACTTCGCTACCTGGCATTTAATTGCAATTCTCAACTCCCCCTTCGTTCACCCCCCACTACGTGCATCGCGAACCTCATCTCTTGCCTGGCGATTCAGCTGTAATACACACAAAGGGAAGCTCCGCAAATTTGTGTTCTAATTGCTGAAATACTCACCTCCGCAAGGATATTATATACGGTATTTGTACTTAATAGCACAGTGATGAAGTAGAGTGACTTATTTTGTTATGTCTCTCAATTATTGTATTTGGGACATTTTCTTATACGACTTTGGGTCAGCATGGCGACCAAAACACATTTTCTTTGTGAGTCGTTTAGATCGTTGTGACTATCCCTTGCCTTTAAGTCACTCGGTGAATGTCGCTGCGGCCTCCCGGGCTCGTCTTCACTAAAAGAGAATATGTGAATATATCTATTTATATATACTGTATACATATATATGTATATTGTTTACGATCTTTGTCCCAATTATTCACGTGCTAATATGAATACAATGACTATCTCTCTCCCTACTCTTATGTACGTTCACAAAACCTTTGGGCTTCCGCCCTTGGGTTTATATTTGTTCTCAGCAAAAAGGCCAGAGTTGAGTTTGTCTCTTCATAACTTTGATGTCCTCAGTAGCGGGTTCAGGCGAACTTTAGCGAGGCTGCTAGACTTAGCGTTCCTTCCGGAATGTTGACCTTCCGGTCTTACTAGCAATCTAGAGTTATGTTGAAATGGACTTTACACCTTCTATGGGTTATATGAGACCAATTCAGGGTGGAATTCTCAACCCAATAAATATTGCTAGAGTAATAGTGAACGTTGCTGCCAATAGAGCGCTATGTTAGCGGCTCAGCACTGTCAACCCTGTCTGGTGATAGTGGGCACGTAGGAATTTTCCCCTAAGTGTTTACTTGGGGATAATGTCTGTGCCCCTGATTGGCAACAAATAAAGATCTTGATGATCCCTCTCAATAAATGTTCTGGATGAAATTATTTTATAAAAACAAATTTAAATAAATAAGTTTCATTGAGCTAAGGGATACTTCATAAATAAGAGTCGGGAGACAGATACGAAATAGTGAGTTATTGTTTATATTGGTCATAGGAGTGACTTGTATAACACTAACTTATGAATAATATAACATTTATGAGTCATATTGATTAAGTTTGGGAGAAAATGCTTTCTCCCTTATTAATTATTATTATTACTTTGTGTTATAATGATATAATGTGACTCATGGTGTCCTCCTAGTTCAGATGAGTGATGTGCAACTGGAGGATGAAGGTCAGGAGTCTGGGCCTATGGATAATGGAGGAGACTATGGAACTGTCCCTGAGGAGATACTATTGAGTGATGAGCTACAAGGACTAGAAAGTTCAGCTCAGGCACTACATTCAAGGAATTGTCTGTCAGTAGAGAATTTGAATTCAGTAGTACAGGCTGTACCTCTCTAGTCCGGCATTCTGTGGTCCGGAAACTCCTGTGGTCCGGAACGATTTTAGTTTGTCCAATAGGTAGATAGGCAACTTTTTTTTTTTTTTCTTTTTTTTTTTTACTTATCTGAATTATTATTATTATTACAGGAGTATTAAATTTTTGCCCCTCAGGCCCCAATGTGGGTCAGTGACCTATGCCCGGGTGGGCTAATCCCCATAAAAAAACAAACAAAGCCGCGGGAAATTAAGGTTTGTTTACATCCGGCAGTTCGGCTGCTCTCTCTCTCTCTCTCTCTCTGCTTGTCTATACAGAGTACAACATTTAACCCTTCAATATATATGAGCGGTAAATAAGTGTTGCTTTCATATTCTTTTGTAGAGTAATGACGATATATTTTCACATGTGCGCACTTACATACGAGCAGTCTCACTTTTTTTTTTACCATTAATGGTTAGCTACTTATATTGTTCCATTTATTAACATTAAATAACATTACAGGTACTTCAAGCAACCATATTCATTTTTTTACATTAATTTTACTTCAGCTGCAATCAGGGTCTTATTTTCTTCAGTTTTATATGTAGAACCAATCAGCCACTGGTTTTGTAAGCTTTAACAAAAACAATGCCGGCAGCCGTCTCGTCTCGTCTCCTCTAATATTCCACGTATTATTAATAAATTGTATTGTTAATTTTGCACATACAAACATTAATTCAATAAAAACAAATTCAGAAACATTAATTAAAATATATATGAACAGTAAATAAGTGTTGCTTTCATATTCTTATGTAAAGTAATGACGATATGCTTTCACGTGTGCGCATGCGCACTTACATACGCGATCTCTTTTTTTCTTTACCATTATCGTTAGCTACTTCTGTTGTTCCATTTATTAACATTAAATAACATTACTTAAAACAACCATATTAATTTTACTACAGCTACAACCAGGGTCTTATTTTCTTCAGTTTTATATGTAGAACCAGTCAGTCACTGGTTTTGTAATCAACGAAAACAATGCTGTCTCATTTCCTCGTGTTTTAATATTCTCCGTACTATTAATGAATTGGATTGCTCATTTTGCACACACAAACATTAATTCAATCAAAAAGACTTTCAGTAATAAACAATAATGAATCTTTTGTACATAAGAGAAATGACGCTGTTTACACGATTGTGCACGTCGTCTGAACGTTGGTGGGCCGTTCAAACCCGTCGAAATTCGAGTTTCCGCTGTCAAAATTTTTAATTGTGTTGTTTTTTTTGCATGTTCAATTAGAAAACGTTGAATTAAAAACTCGCGAAATTTGAGAAGCTACTGTACGACATTAACCCTTCAATATGTCTTCAAAGAGACCATGAAGCAGGGAAAGTGGTGCTAGTGCTTCCAAGCATAAGCACAAGTCACTATCTATCCAGGAAAAAGGTGAATTTCCATGGTCCGGCACGTTCAGGTCCCGAGGTTGCCAGACTAGAGAGGTACAACCTGTAGTAGTTTCACCCAAGACCCAAGGGAGCCATACTACATGTAATTATAAAAAATGTAAAGCGACTTGGATTACTAAGATAGATCCTCATGTGGCTTGCATAATTCATGGCAGCTGTGTCTCAAATAACCTATTTTCACCAATGGATTGTGCAGTTTGTTATGATCAAATTTTTCAATTTCATCAAGCTACAGGTGATAAGAAAGATTTATTGCAAATATAAATTAAAAATAGGTGGAATAAGGCCTTGAAGAGTAAATTTTTGATTGTACAACAATGGAAAGATCCCAAGTTGGCAGAAAGTTTAGGTTTATTGGTGTTAGGTAAAAGACTTAATCCCCACTTAGACAAGACTGCTCCTGCTAAGAAAAATAAGTTATTGGACCCTCCAGACAGTGGGGCAGTAGGAAGTCTACAAAAACCCCTATCTACTCAATCTGATTTCAGTGGATTCCAGGATCAGGACGATGAGGCTGGTTCTAATCATAGTATCCAGTATCTTGAGCAGGAAGAACCTGTTGAGACTGACTTCATCATATCCACTTCTTGGCAACCACTTCCACCTGGGGCAAAAGTGTTGGTTACTGCGAGTGGAAACAGGCTGCTGTCGACTGACACGCAGGTGCTGGATAATATTGAGTGTAAGGTTGATTCTAACAGGCCATGGATAACATTGGTAAGAGCCAAGTCTTCTTTGTTCACTAATCCATCTGAATCTGTGGACTTCTTATTCAAGATATTTTATGAAAATGTCTCTAAGCTTCCTGATATCTCAGCAACTACAAAGAGAGAGGAAGGACATGCAACTTTGGGTCATTCTTTATTTTTGGAGGGTGATACTACACTTTCTTGGCCTGATATTTGCCCAAAGATGATCTCTGAAATAGACGAAGTCTGGGCTAATTTATTGAAAGACTTAACATTCATTCCCGCAGACAGGAATGCTCACAAGTTAGTTTTTTGAAGTTCCAATTTAATGACGAAAAGAGTTCCTTATATGAACTTTCCCAGTATTTGTCGGCTGCAAAATATGTTGAAATAAGCTATGAAAAAAATTTGAAACCAGTTGCCCGTGCACTGCTGCTTGAAGAATTTAAAATTAGGAAAGTGGCAGCAGATGTTTGGTCTGCAATTACGATGTGTCAGTTATTAACTAAGTTTGTGAAGAAAATTCAGAAGTGGACAAATGTTTTTGCTGCTGCTTTACAAGGAATCCCATATTCCCTGTACAACTCATTCTTAGATCATTTGTTGAAAGCCCTAAGACTGAAAGTCCAGCTAAGGAAATAAGCAACAACTAATGCTTCAAGTGGTAGCGCTTATTTGTTGATACGTTCTTCTCCTCTTTCTCCTGCTTTGTTTTGTGAACAATCATTGATTAATTATAGATCATCTTTGGAGAATACTATTAATATTAATGTCCCCAGGAGTCCTCAGACTTTCGGAAACCTAGGAGAGGAAGGTTTTACAGGGGAACAGGACCAGCTGCCCGAGTCAGTTATCAACCTAGAGGAAATTTTAGAGGAGGAAATAATTAAAGACGTAATAGAGGTGGCCGTTTGTTCAGAAACGGAAGGAGACCTTATTCCACCACCTCAGCAACTTCCCCCTTCCAATGAAGCCAGACAGCTGGGTCGTCTAGGGGGTTGGGAGAATAGATGGACTTCTTCCATATGGGCTTACAAGACAATCAAAGGGGTCTCACATGGACTTGGTTGAGGCACCTTCCCCTAGCATTCCCAAAGAAGGGGCAAAAACCAACCCCATTACTTACAAAATTTGTAAGTCAATTACTAAACAGAGGTGTCATAGAACCGTTGCAGTCAGAGAAATGTTTCATGTCTCGCCTATTCCCAGTCCCCAAGAAAGGCAGCGACAAATTAAGGTGGATTTTGGATCTTTCAATCCTAAACAAATTTATTCCCAAAAGAAGTTTCAAGATGCTCACTTACGACCATCTGAGGCATCTAATTCCGCCCAATGCTTGGATCTCAAAAGTGGATCTCGAAGATGCCTATTATCACGTTCCCGTTGCTCCCAGGTACAGAAAATTTCTGGTGTTCAAAGTAGGGGAATTAAGTTATCAATTCACAGTGATGCCATTCGGTCTGACAATTGCACCAAAAGTCTTTACAAAACTGGCAAATATTCCCAGAAAGATCCTTGCAAAGGAGGGCATAAGAACCTTTGCTTATCTAGACGATTGGCTGATAATGGGAAACTCATTCGAAGATTGTCAAAGGGCGACCCAACGTACACTAGTACTATTTCAAAACTTTGGTTTAAAGATAAACCAGGTCAAATCAAATTTAATACCATATCAAAAGTTGGATTGGTTAGGCCTCCACTGGGATACAAATCAGCAGTCAGTCAGTTTACCAGGAACAAAAGTAACAGATTTGATAAACAAAGTAGAAGCCTTTTGTGTAAAGCACAAAGTTTCTTGGCACGATTGGGAAAAACTTCTGGGTCTGTTGAATTTTGCCACAATAGTGGTTCCATTGGGAAAGTTAAGGAAAAAGCAACTATCTCATTTGGGCTCGAAGTTGCTTCGCAGAAACAGAAACGTTGCTTCTTCTCTCCCTATCATCTGTTATGGTGGGCAAACTGGGACAATCTAATCGGTCCCTCTCCCTGGGTTCCACCTCAAATAGGTTTGGTCGTTTGTACGGATGTGTTCAAAATAGGATGGGGATACCATTCTTCAAAAGGGGAATTAAATCAAGGAAAGTGGAGCAACTTCCTTTGGGACAAACACATAAATATAATAGAATTAGCAGTGGTCCTATTCTTTTTGTCGGCAAACCCAAATTTACAAAATATGATCCTGTTTGCCACGGACAACAAAACGGCAGTGTTTTGTCTCAATCATCAAGGGTCAACAAGGTCTTGGCCCCTTCTTCAACTATCAGAAAAATTTTTCAGTATTTGTGCAACACAAACACTTTACCTCAAAGCAACTTATATACCGGGAGTGCAAAACAATTGGGTAGATGCGCTGTCCCGTCCCCGGCCAGTATCGACAGAAACAGAATGGTCCCTAAAGGTATCAGAGTTCAAGAGTCTAGTGAAGAAGTTTGGAACTCCACAGATAGATCTGTTTGCCTCCCTAACAAATCACAAGATGCCAATTTATGCATCTCTGGAAGGGTCAAATCTTTTAGGAAATGTCCTCCTCTTAGATTGGAACCTTTGGAATTCAATCTATCTATTCCCACCTGTGAAAATATTGCCCAAAGTGGTTCACAAACTCAGATCCTTCCGAGGCAAAGTCCTCTTAATTGCACCATATTGGATCCTAAAACCTTGGTGCCTGGATCTACTGGACTGGTGCCCAAATCCTCTACAATTGCAACAAGGATGTCTAGACCAGGTACTACATTCTCAGTTCGAGATATCCTTGGCACTTCACGCTTGGAGTTTCTCAAAAAGTTTAAATAGGTTGTTGGGTAATTCCAATGTAGCTAACCAAGTATTAGCAGGTCATAGACCCCAAACTTCTATTCAATATGAGAAAGCTTGGAATCTTTTTCAACAATTTATCAAGTTAACAACTCCAGATTCATTATCGGAAACAGTTGTGTTAGAATTTTTAGAATTTCTGTTCAGAGTTAAAGACCTTCAGGGATCGACAATTGCATCTTATAAATCAGCGTTGGTTGACCCTCTGGCTTGCTGTTTTAATATTACTTTGAACCCGAGGATTTATCAAATGCTAAGATCGTCCTTTTTCATTCAGAGACCTCCTCGACCCAAGAGAATCCCGCCTTGGTCTCTGGAAAAAGTTACTAATCTTCTTATGGGGCCTAATTACAATATAAATCTGAACTGGGATAAATTACTCCAGAAAGCAGCTTTCCTTCTAGCAATAGCAACGGGTATGAGAATCAGTGAACTGATTTCAATTTCCAATAATCCATCATTATTGGTATTTTCTGACGAGGATGTTATCCTTTTTCCTACGGAGATCCTAAGAAAAAATGAAAGGGAAGATTTCCAAACTCAACCTATTGGGATAAAACGTCTAATGGATGAAATGAGGGTTCTTCGCATATTGTGTCCAGTTAAAAATCTTCAGGAATTGTTAACCAGATTCCCTAATAGAGGCCCTTATGTTTTCTCATCAAGGGATGGTAAGAAATTATCTCCTAGTCAATTGACAAAATCCTTATCTCAATTAGTGAATCAAGCATACCCTGGCAAGAAATTTTTGGCACATAACACTAGGAAATATGCAGGGTCTGTGGCCTTTCTGCGGCATATGAGTCTCAGTCAGATCAAGGAAATGGGCTTTTGGAGATCTTCAAAAACTTTCATCCATCTCTGAGAGATGCTTCAAATGTGGTGGTGCTGGGTTCCCCTCCCCCATCTAGTCAATCTCTACTACGAGGACCTTCTTCCTCATCAGAATAAAGTGAGTATCCTTTTTAAGTAAATTAACATTTTACCTTCCGGTAAATGTTCCTAATTTTGGAAATGTTCAAAACGGTTTATAATATAATCTGGACCTCAGTCAGCGGAGCCTTGTATGCAAAGTCACCTCCCTCTCCACCTCCTGCTCGAGTATTCTTGCTGAGCGTCGCATTCAGAGCTTGAACAAAAGGCCATTTTTTTCTAAAACCAGTTTTTGTGATATGGCTCGAATGCGACGTCCATAACCCACCCATCTCCACCCCTCGACAGTTGAATTTTAATTACTGCTCTCTCTGAGGCAAGAGATGAGGGTCGTGATGCGTATAGTGGCGGGTGAAGGAGGGGGGTTTGAGAATTGCAATTAAATGCCAGGTAGCGACGTGTCCTCCTAATATTACTTATTAAGTAATTACTATTAGATGTTTTAATTGTCTGTATGTTGGCCTGGCGAATTGGCTAGGAATTAACATACCTAGGTAGGCATTGTTGAGTCGCATTCGAGCTATATCATAAAAACTGGTTTTTAGAAGGAAAAAAAGGGCTTTTTTGGGGGGGGGAGGGGGGGTTCCTTGCACTCTTTGGCAAACTCCCAAGGGTCTGCCAAGTATGATTTGTTCAATATTTTCTATCTGAACACTTCTTTCTTTCCTGCACAGCACAACTTAAATAAGTGGAGCTTATGTGGATGTTATTCTCCCCACTTAGATGGAGTAGGGGAATATATACAGCTGGCTCACCTTTATACGAGTTATTTTTTAAACTAGGCAGGAGTCTGGTTGCATGTGACTATTAACCCTTTCTCACCTGTCAATATCCTTCTGAAGAAAAGGAGACTAGAACTTTACTACTTACTCTGAGTGATGCCTATCAAGAACTGCAACACAGTGTGTGAATTTATATATTAGTTTTGTCATTACTGTATTTTTTTTAAATGTTTACTGTGCTGTATTAATTTATACAGTACAGTGGAGTCTGGATTTACGCGGTTTTGGTTAACGCGTTTGGTCATTTATGCGGTGTCTTGCCAGAATCGAAATGCTTTAATTACGCGGTAAATTTGGTCATTTACGCGGGTGAAGTATAATTTGTTTACTGTATTTACTGAAGATATTTGTTTTAGCTCATAAAATTCATACAAATTACCCGGCCAGAATATAATTTACATTGCTGGAATTCTTATAAGATTGTGATTATTTTAAATATAAACATCATAAAATTTGCATTAGACATACAAATTTTAGATCTAATTTAAGAATTTTGATTAGAAAGAGCAAAAATTTTATCTTTTGTGCAAAATATATGACGTTTATATTCAAATTATTCCTTGTCTTGCAAGGAATCCAGCAATGTCAATTATATTATCCTAACTTTAGTCTGAGGTATTATTTATTACTAAAAATGTAAGCCTATTGTTTTCACCCAAACATTTCTCAGAGAGGGAGGAGCCAGCGAGCATGGGAAGAGTGGGGGGGGGGGGAGTTGAGTCCATTATTTGAATGGACATTATCCGGCGACTGTATTTCTCTTAAATATTAATTGTGTGTGCATACCATCATAAAATTAAGATGTTATTTTTACTACAACGTAGGTATTGTGTTGGAAAAAGTGGAGTTTGGGGGTCGGCCCAGTCTCTATTTCAATTAATCCCATATGGTCTGTTATTTCATTTACGTGTTTCTCGTTTTGCGCGGGCCTCCACGGGTTCAATTGACCGCGTAAATGCAAACTCCACTGTAATAGATTTTTTATTGTCATCCATGATTAGTTTGTAAAGAATTTTGAGACAATAGCTTATACAGTACAGTAAGTCCTTGATATATGCGAGTTCATCATATGTGAATTCACTCCTATGCAAAGACCCTATTCCTACCAGGAAATCAATTAATGTGAGCAAAATTCAGCCTTATACGAGGTGTTATACTCCCTGATGTGGATTCCAACCCAAATACTCTGTAGATGTCACTCCAACACCACCACCCACTATGTAAAACCTCTACCACCACCTCCATCATCTCGTCTACCCAAGTTGATGTATCTGCTGTTATTGTTAAGTACACTGTACTGTACACTTCCTTTATCTATTATTTTAAAAATAATATTATATTGATTTGTTTTGTGGTTTATTTGTCTGTCTGGAACATTTTCCTTTTGGATTATGGAATGCATCTTATTTTTTCCCATTTAACTCGGTATTCGATTTATGCGAGGGTTTTCAGGAACACATCCCTCGCATATATTGAGGACTTACTTTAGTAGTTCTCTCCTTCCTTCCCTCCCTTTGCCCCTCTCATAATATGCCTAGAAAAAGAATAAGTTATTATGATTGTTTTTCCAGAAACATTAGGATACAAGTATGAATGGACCCTCCTGCAGCAGCCTGACAGTGATGACCACGGCTCTGTCAGTGATACTAACAGTCAGACCATCACCCTGACTCATTTGACACAAGGTGTCTACATATTCAAGGTTGTTGTTGATGCTCCAAGTGCACATGGCGAGGCCGTTGGAAATGTGACCGTCTGCTCACGTATGTTTTTTTACCTTATTCTTGAGTCTGTATAGACTAAACATTTATATACTGTGCAGTATGTGACAATAATATTGACACATAGGTGACTTGGTGTATAAGATGACTTCCAAATATTCAATTTGAAATTTAAGTCTTAGGCTGTACTCTCTTTATAAGATGATTATAAAATATGAAGCTTAGTTATATTGGGTAGGGTTTCACCATGGATGGCTTAACAGAAAATGTCTGCAATAAAATTTCTCTTTTATCTCAAGAATAAAGAAAATTGGGTGGAATACTGTAGTACGTACTGTAGTACTTTTCCTTTGAAAGTTATTTTGAAAGATAAAGTAAAGAAGTCATGGCTGGTCTACCTCTGCCACCATCTTTGTTTACATACTGTTTATACTCAATGATAGTTTGAGTTTTTATGATCAAATTTTTATGCAAAAAGAAGGGGGTCGAACTATATAATATATACAGTACAGTGACCCCTCCGTTAACGAACTCAATCCGTTCCAGAAGGTCGTTCGTTAACCGAAAAGTTCGTTAACCGAAACCATTGTTTCAATGGGTTTTTGGGTAATTGGTTCCAGCTCACCGAAAATTTCCTAAATTCAACAAAAATGGTAGAAAAGTTCACTTACTTTGAGGTGTGTATGTAGAAGGCTCCTGGATGATGATGATGATGATGATGGGATTTAGAATGGGGGTGGAGGAGAAGGAAGAAGAGAAGGCATTGGGGTGGAAGAGAAGTCACCCCATTGCGCCATTTCACCCATAAAATTTTAGCTCTGGTGTAATTCAAGATTATTTTCTTTAAATCAACACTGCACTGCATTATATATTGTCAATATGTAAAATATATTTCAAAATGACCAATAATTTGCTTGGAAACACAGAAAAAAAGCGTTTAGTTGAAGAGAGTCTCAAGCAAGATGTTACCTCCAGTGAAAACAAAGAGAGACAGTAACTCCTGTTTGCTGTGTTAAGAGGCCGGATGCCGCGCATTAAACTAGTCACTTTACCTTCAATTATGTTCAATAATTGTTAAAATGACTAAAAAATTGAATATTAAACTTTTAAATTTATTGAATAGTATAAACTTCTTGATATTTACTAAAATAGTAAGGAATTTAAGCCCTAGAACTGATTAATGTATTGGCGGACTGATACTAAAGCTGGTTGCCCGGTCAGTGCAAGCGAAAACATGTTAGAACATAAGAACATAAGAAAGTGGGATACTGCAGGAGGCCGACTGGCCCATACAGGGCAGATCCCTTTCACACCCATCCCAGCACTTCCATGTGCCTATCCAACTTCGTCTTGAAGCTCCCTAGCGTCCCGATCTACTATATAGCACTTTCGGTAGCCTATTCACATATCCACAACTCTATTACCAAACCAGTGCTTGCCTATATCCTTTCTGAATCGAGATTTATCTAATTTAAAGCCATTTGTTCTAGTTATTTCGTTATTACTGAGCTTCAGAACATCTTCCATTTTACCCTTGTTAATCCCACTTACCCACTTGTACACCCCTATCATATCTCCCCTAACTCTACGCCTCTCTAATGAATGTAAGCCTAAGCTTTTCAGTCTTTCTTCATATGGAAGGTTTCTAATATTATGGATCATTCTTGTCATTCTTCTCTGTACTCTCTCCAAAGAATCTACGTCCATTCTATAATAAGGACACCAGAACTGAACCGCATAATCCATGTGTGGCCTCACTAATGCTAGGTAAAGTTTCAAGATAACGTCAGCAGTTCTGTTACTCACAGACCTAGATATGAACCCAAGAATCCTGTTTGCCTTGTTGCGAACGCTAATACATTGTTTTCTAGGTTTCAAGTCGTTGCTAACAAATACACCTTGATTTTTTTCACAAACTGAGTTTTCTATTTCCGTGTTACCTAGTTTATACTTAACGTTTGTATTCGTCTTCCCTATCTGTAGTACCTTGCATTTATCACTATTAAAATTCATTTGCCAGTCTACTGACCACTCATGTAAGGTATCTAGATCTCTTTGAAGGTGTTCAAAGTCACTGTCTGAATTTATCACTCTCCCCATTTTGGTATCATCTGCAAATTTACTAATCCTACTAGTTATGCCTAAATCAAGATCATTAATGAATATAACAAACAGCAGAGGGCCTAATACAGATCCCTGGGGAACTCGCTTTTGGCCTTTTCCCAGTCTGACTTTAATCCATTTATGCTGACTCTTTGTTTCCTACCAGTTAACCATGACCTAATCCATTTTAATACTGATCCACCTATTCCATGTGCTTCTACCTTCCTTATCAATCTCTCATGAGGGACTCTATCGAATGCTTTACTGAAATCTAAATAAATGATATCATATGACTTATCATTATCTACCGCTTCATATACTTCTGAGAAAAAGCTAAGCAAATTTGTGAGACAAGAACGTCCCTGGGTGAACCCGTGGTAAGAAGAATGAATTAAGTTGAATGTTTCAAGGTGGCTTCTGATTTTTGTAGCAATAATTGACTCTAGCAACTTGCCTATGATTGACGTGAGACTAATGGGACGGTAATTTGATGCTATTGATTTATCACCCTTTTTGAAAATCGGAACTACATTTGCAAGTTTCCAAGCCTCTGGCACTAGGCCCGATTCAAATGACTTATTAAATGAAACTGCTAATGGATTACTCAACTCATCTCTACATTCTTTTAATATTCTAGCATATACCTCGTCTGGACCAGGCGATTTATGAGGCTTCAGTTTGTTAATTACTTTAAGCACATCGTTACTAGTAATATTGATATTCATCAACATATTTTCTATACTGTCGTTATATACCTTATGAACTTCTGGAAACTGTGCTAGGTTTTCATTTGTGAATACGGAGCGAAAATGACTATTTAACGTACTACACATTTCTAACTCATCATCAGTCATTTCTCCTGTCGTAGTTTTAAGGGGACCTATTGTATCTCTAACCTTTGATTTATACAGTTGATAAAAAGCTTTGGGGTTATTTTTCGATTCGTTTGCTACCTTGATTTCATAATTTCTCTTTGCTTTCCTAATTTCTGTTTTTACCTGTCTTGTTAGGTTCTGATAGTAACCAAGTAAGTGATTTTCGCCTTTCTTAACTTTTCTATATACTCCTTTCTTTTTCCCTAGAAGATCTAAGAGTCTATTATTCATCCATTTTGGTTGGTTCCGTATCGATCTGAATTTTCTTTTAGGGATGTGTTTATTTTGGGCATTATTGATTGTCGCAATAAATTGTTCATAAGTAGCTGCTAAATTAAATTCCGGGTTATCCCGTCCTAAGTTGACAGTTTCCGGAGGTGTGGGGGGGATTAATCTTTTGACCATAGGGTCATCCCTTAGGTCTCTCCTTAAGCTACCGTAATTAGCCTTCCTAAAATCCGGGATCAAGGCCGAATTTTCCTTCTTCTTGCCATCCCATATTATGTTAAAATATATGGCTTTATGATCACTGTTTCCTAGTTCGTCTCCAATCCCAACATCTTTTACTAGATTTTCATTATTACTGAGAACTAAATCGAGGATATTATTTCCTCTAGTGGGCGAGTTTATGAATTGATATAAAAAACTATCTTGTACTACTTCTAGAAAATCTTCAGATTCATTATCGCTAAGTTGATTTTTCCAATCTATGCCTGAAAAGTTGAAATCGCCTAGAATACATACATTGTTTCTATCAGATGCCTTCTTTATTTCCTCCCATAGCAATTTACCATCGTTCCTACTCAAATTAGGTGGTCTATATATAACACCAATGACTACGGATTCACTGCCCTCACCAATCTCTACCCAAATACTTTCATTGTCGCTATTTGTTTTAATGTTTGATTTATTGCAGCTTTTTAATGACACCCTGATATACACTGCTACACCGCCACCTCTCCTTCCTACTCTGTCAAATTTAAATAGGTTATATCCTGGAATATGAAATTCTGCTAAAAAATGCTTGCTGTTTGAATTTATCCATGTTTCCGTTATTGCAATTATATCTATGTTCTCTTTACTAACAATGGCCCTGAGCTGGTCCATTTTGTTACACAGGCTTCTACTATTAGTATAATAAAAACTCAATATATTTCTTCCGTTTCTATCTGTTTTACATTTATTACTTTGATGTTTGTTATTATGACTAACTATATTTTCAGCATTATCTACTTCTGTTTCACTACTTCCCAGGACCTGCTTGTTTTTTGACTCCCATTTTCCCCGACCCCTCTCAGTTTGTAAGAACTTCGTTAACCGAATTTTTTTTCATTAACCGAATTGAAGATCCTTATGGAAGGCAGTTCGTTAATCGAAATTACGTTAACCGAGGTGTTCGTAATTAAAACCTTAACTCTAAAATAAAAAGTTAAAACTTTAACTTCAAGATTAAATTTTACTTCAAATTTATATTTTATTGACAATAAAAGCATGTATGATTACATTTTAAAATCCTTCAAAGTCTGCTGCCTGTTCATCGTCTAACATAAAGAGGTTTGCATGTGGGTCCAAATCACAGGAACTCCGACTTCGTCTTCATTATTTTTGCTCTCATCCTCCTCCTCGTCACTGTCTCATCACAATAAATCATCTTCTTCCCCATCCATTGCTTTTGAAATCCCACATTTTATGAACGATTTTATGACAGTTTCTACACGTACGGCTTCCTAAGACTTTACAAATTCGCACAACACATCCATTGGTGGAGCACGCATATTACCCCCCTTCGTGAATGACTTTTCTCCCTCAACCAACCATCCCCATGGCTCCCCCAACAAAAAGGGTGAAATATGACTCAAGTTTCAAGCTGAAAGTTGTTACGTTTGCAAACTCTTCAAGCAACAGTGCTGCAGCGGATGACAGTTTAAGTCTAAGCTGTGCTGCTGTCAGTGTAACGGACCCATAGTTTCGCAACTGGTCACGTGGTGTTGGTGACGCTACTGGCAGTTAGTTTACAACAGCTGATACAAATGGTGGATCGTAAGCCAGGTGTACCATAATTTT